TTGCATTTACGTACTTTGCCTAATTAACTTTATTAATCTAAAAGCTTGACATTCGAATTACGTCCTAACGAGTGCCTATTAGACACTCGAAACGCAGTTTATAAAACATCTCAAACACATAACTACAAAGTTATACTTTAGAGCACAACGTGCTTATTAAGATTCTCAAACTCATAGTAATTGTGAAAAACTGCCATACACACTAATGATTTTCCAGTTAAAGTATGGGTAGTCCTTTAGAATAATCATCCATGTAACAAATTACACTAGGCCCCTAGGTTTGAGCTCTTAAACAATTGAAGCATTAATTTGTGCATGCAATATGTATGTACATGCCAATAGATCACATCGACATTGATATAAAGTTGTATATATCTGCACTTCAAATGGACATAAATAGTTTCCAAAACCCAACTTAACTGCACCCTTGAACCCCCAAAAAAAAAAATCAGCATAAATATAAATGTAACAGACTTTACAAGAAAAGGAAATAAAGTTTATCATTGGAGTTCTATTTCGGAATAGAAGAGAAGCCAGAAATCAGAAGGTGATGGAAAAGAATGCACATACATCATATATGGAATGATCCTGCGGAGGCTCGAACGTGTAAAACAAACAAGAACAACCCTTTAAAGCATCAACCACGCTATGATAGTCAAAAGGGTCCGAGTGAAACACCTTCAAATTCTTGTTGTCATTTGCTAATCCACTAAATGATGCCAAATCCCCTGATATATGAATCCAAAACAAACTTTTGTTATAATGAAGATACTGATGAAAATGACCATACATACTTCAATTTCATTACTTGAACATATCAATGCGAAAGTACACTTTTGACGAGTGATAAAATAAGATTCACGACACACGTGCAAAAATTGAGTTCAAAAAAAAAATGAACCTTCAGTTTGAACAGCAGCATGGACAGTGTATCCTCTTTTCAGCAGCCTGTCGACTAAGGTTGAACCTAAACGTCCAGAGGCATCCATGACACAAACAGTACGCGATGCCATTTCTGATTCCTCCTGCAATTTGTGCCCTCCTCCTGTGGCTTACTAGCTGGAGCGGCTTTCTATATATTAGAGGGATGGAGGAGTGTCGAGAGAACGAGAAAGCTATGGCATTTATTTGGAGGGTGGTGGGGCAACTGGGCAGTGCACAGTTGGCAAGTATTGGTTGGGAAACAGCCGGCCTCCAGCCTCCAGTCCAGTGTCTTTGAATGAGTAAATGAATGAAAGTGTGGTAAGTTGATGGATGGGGACATCCCAAGAGGAAGAAGAGTTGGTGGGAACGTGTATATGTTTTTTCCTTTTCTTTTTGGTTTAGCTTTGTTTATTTACAGTATCTACTCAACCAACAAGAAACACCAACTTCATGATCACTTCCGGAAGAAGCCATAATTGTTGTAGGGTACTCTCCAACCATCACAAAAGGATAGCCCATTGGAAGTCATGGACAGCCTTTCAGATTTAAAGTATGATCATCCGGTTACTTGATTGATATAAATTCAGCAAAAGTGACAACCAGATTAAGAAAGAAACTAGTGGACAAGTTGGATGCTTCAGTTGTCTTCTCTTGACGTATTGTTTTCCTTTGCCCTTGTCTGTTCCAGGTTAACAGGGCTGATTTGACCAAAAATTTGAATCGAATTGTTTATTTCAGTATAATCCAGTTAAAGAGTTAAGCTAGTCTTGCAGAGAATTTGTCATGATGGCTAAAAAAATTGTTCTTAATTAATTGTCTTGATTGCTTCTTTTCTTGAACAACTAATAATTTAGTGTAAGGGAGTCGACCGCGTGGTTGACTTGATTAGTTTCACTACTGATTAACATGAAAGGATGATTTGCTGTTCATCAATTTATAAATCTTAGTATATTAGTAATTGCAATGCTTAAAAATAAAAATACAGCAAATTAAATAATGGTAAATTTGCACAAAATAACTAAGGATGTGCTTGATAAGTGGTGTCAATTTTAATTATACCTATACATAATATGTTTATTTCCATAACAAGAACATTGGTGAGATAGAAACTTTTAAGACCCTGTTCAGATTGCTATTGGAGGAGTTTTTTTTTTTTGGTAGAAACATATACTGTAACGATTTAACATACGTTAAGTAAAAAATAACTAAAAAATTTATTCATGAAAAACTTAAAATTTTTTATGTAGAAAACTGCAATCAAAACAAGGCCAATAAAGAAAGACGATGGATGAGGAACAAAAATAAGAAAAAACAAAACTGACCTTTGAGACTCCTAAGCTGAAGGTATCAAGAATTTTGCTAGTTTAACAGCATCTTCCGTGCCTGCAATTACGTGATTTAAAGCATAAATGTCGACCGGCCATCCGTTTGTTGAGATGTCTTCATAAACACAAATGTGAGCATCCCATCCATTTTCATACATCTCCGCCGCTCCTTTTAGATAAGGATTTCTGATTGACAAATCAGGAACCATCCCAATAATTATTCTGCATTGCCAAGCCCGGCCCGAGCAGTTTTCTCCCTCTGCTTGTGTTTTCAACAGCTCAGGCCATAGCTGTCACCATAGACACAAGATTGATTTTGATCGAATGTATCTGTTGTCATACCCAGGCATTATGTATGATAATCATCAGATGTCTTAGCTTAGCTGCAATTTTTATTTTTTATTTTCTTTTTTAGGTTACAAACAGAAAATCTGATGCTACAAATATGCTATGCTGACGTCTAATATAGGTTGCATCTATGTATGGCTAGATAGATGAGGATAGCACAAAAGAATTTACGACAGAAGTTAATTTCACTCCAATCAATTTTTCTCATCCAACTCTTCTGATGAATCTATATGATACCTGATGATCCCTCCAGATGAGGGCGGTGGTGAGGATATAAAAACAACTTTTTCCATGGCGTCTGTCTGAGAACATGCTTCCACTACATTGTGGGCTGCTCTAACCTCCGTACGTATCACTTCAACCATATTTTCCTATCATACATAGCGGTAGTGTTATTTTCAAAATCTTCTTCTTTTTTTTTTTATTTTTTTCCTTATTTGGGATTAGGATTTTAGCTAAAAATCTTGTTCTAATTTCATAACTCACTACAACAAAAAGGGGTTTTGGCAGCAGTTCTCATGCGGCACAAGGAAAAAGTGTTGTGAAAAAAAATGAAGACGTATTTGAGAATTTGTGAAATGATTTTGGATAGGGAATTTCGTCATTTTAGTCCATAAACTTTTACACTAAAATCGAGTTCATCCTTTATGATTTTTTTTAGTCAATTTAATCTTCCGATTATTTTGAAGTCTCCAATGTAGGACTTTTGCATTGGCGACGCCACATTTTACGTGTTCCGTACCATCGGTGATGGGTATATTTATCCTTTTAAATCAGATTCTTCAATTTAGACGGACCTTTGACCATAGTTCTTCTTCTCCGATAAATTTCACCGAAAATTTCATCTGAATTTATTGAAAACTTGCACAAACTCTCTCTCTCTCTCACACTCAAATCAAGAAACAAAATCCATGAGAAAAAAAATAGAAAACCAAGAACCAAAAGGAAAATTGAAACAAAATTTGAAGGAGAAATCTCTCTCATAGACAATTTTAGGTCTACTCACCGGCAAACTCATTTTGTTTGGTTCTGATTCTTCGATCCTCCATTCATGGTTGTTAGCAAAGACACCACCAATTGTCACTACCGACCCACTTTCATCCGTCAACAATTAAAACTATAAAAACTCATGACTAGTCATCATTCACATTTTTCACCTTGATTTTCACATGAACTCATAAGAATCTCTCCAAAATCCTTGCGTAATCTTAGTTGTAGAGTTGTATACTCTATTTTCTTTCCAAGAAAAGAAGAAAAGAACCAAAAAATAGAAAACCAACAAAAACATTGAGAGAATCCGAGGAGCAAGGGGAGCTCGCTGCCGCCGTCACCATTGCCGGAGTTGCTATCTTCTTGCTAGAACCACCACAACTTACAAATCATCATGAAGAAAGCACTGTGAGGTTTCCATAATCCTTTTTTTGTTTTAATCTCTAGGTTGAGATGATTTTCTTATGGCTGTTGAAATTGCTATCTTCTTCCCGTATGCTTTGTTTTGTAGATGAAAGAAATTAGACAATGATACTTGCTGCAATTTTGTTGTTTCTTTTTCACCTTTTCTGCCTGAATGAGGCTTGACAAGATATTTTTCGACTCAGCCATAGTCAAATTTCATTCGAAATATTCAATTTTTGTGATGACCTTAATCCGTTTGACAAAATGCCCAAACGAAATGAGTTTGTGAGTAGACCTGAGAGTATGTTTGAGAGCCATTTCTCCTTTGAATTTTGCTTCACTTTCCTTATGGTTCTTGTTTTTTTTTTTTCTTGTGAATTTTGTTTCATGATTTGAGTGTGTGTGTGTGTGAGAGAGAGTTTGTGCGAATTTCTGGTGAATGGGATGAGATTTCTATCGGAGAAAAAGAACTATGGTCAAAGATCCATCTAAATTGAAGAATCTGATTTAAAAGAACAGATATACCCATCACCGATTATACAGAATACGTAAAATGTGGTTGTGGTCTCGCCCTGCAAAAGTCCCACATTGGAGACTTCAAAATAGTCAAAGGACTAAATTGGCTAAAAAAAATTATAAAGGATGAAATTGATTTTAATGTAAAAATTTAGGGGCAAAAATGGCGAAATTTTCTTTTAGATATAAAAGTCATTAAATATTTATTCAAAACTTTTTTAAGAATAAAATAGGTATTTTTCAAAAATTTCGCAAGCTTTCTCAAACTTTCTCTCCATTTCCATCCAATTTGGAAGGAAAATTTTTGCCTACTATTTATCTTTCTTAATCCTCCTATTTTCTTTCTTTTTTTTCTTATTAAAAATTCACAAATAAAAGAAAAGTAAACTTTCTCCCCTTTCCCTTTCTTTTCTCCAAATCCTCGACTCCCAAACGAAGCCTTAAACAAGAAATGACGACGTAGCATTTTGCTACATTAAATGTCTAATAGCGAGGGGAAAAGAGAAAAAAAATCACACACACAAAAAGAAAAAAGAAAAAAAAATTCTAAAGCATATCGGTTTTCGTTCTCTGCTCAGTTTCCTTCCCCCTGATCTCAAATCCTCGCTCTTTCTCCCGCTAAAATCTATTCCACTGTTCCGATCAATTAATTTCTCGTCTGCTCTCTCCATTTCTTATTCTTATAGTTGTACTCAATTTCTCTCCCACTTTTCAAGTCTCCATTAGGCTTGAGAAAGAAAAATTGGTGAGGTTTATAGCTTTACACCAATCCAATCCTTCGTTGTTTGCTCTGTTACGATCAATTTTAGCAACATTTATGAGAAATTTACTGTTAATTTCTGTTCATTTTTTAGGTCGATGTTCATGAAGTGAAGGAATTGGAAATTCACCGAGCAAGATTTGTTGAGATCTCAAAGTAATTGTATTCGACAGCGAAGTAAAACCTAACTCTGGTATTGAGAGAAGTCGTTAGAGAATCTTCTTCGATTTTTGGTTAGACATCTTCCATTCGATGCAAGAGGTAATTAACCTCAGATTTTCTCTCTTTTTTCGTCCACAATTTGATATTTATGCTTTTTTTTTTTTGGGATTCGATGGAGAACGACTATATGATTTTTAAATGTGGATTTTAATGGTTTTTTTTCCAATTATTTGAGACTTAATGTGATCTAAGGTGAAATTCTAGAGTTTCAGTTTGAAAATTTGGATTGCATTGCACTTTAATGCACATCTCTATGATTTTGGATACGGTTCTAGTAGCATGATGTGTGGGTAAAGTAAATTGTTACATTATGATATTTTCTTAACCATGTAATAATAATTGGTTATGATATTTGCTTGACCATGTAATAATAACTGGCTATGTAATATGTGGGAAAAGATCATTGTTGGCATAAATATTGACTTGGCCAAAGAGTGTGTCAATTTAAGCACGAATTCTGGTTTACACATATTTTTGGAGCATATTGGCTTGTCAGATCTGCTTGCCTATTGTCGTTTATCTTTGGTCAATGACTTTTCTTCTGTAATTCTGGTTGATAGTATTAGGAACCTTATTGTATACATCACATGTATGTAATACAAGGTTCCACCCAATTTTCAGACAATGCTGGAGATACATATTTCTAAGTGCCCTGCCATGTTTCATGTGTTTTGTTCTGTTAAAGTTTCCTTTTCTTTTCTTCTTTATGCATGTGAAGCAAGCTGGAGTTTATCTTCTAGAAAGCCTTTTGTTGATTGTCCATCATTAGTTGTTTAACTTTTCTCAAGGTAAAACTGAACTGATGATATTAACTCTGAAAACCATGTTGGATGGAGGTTAAAGGGATGGGAGATAAAATAGTCTAACCATCAAATCTATGCTAATATATGAAATTTAGAGCGTCTCAATAGATGATTTGTCAACTGGTGCATCAGCATCTTTGAGAATCTCTTCATGATTGTGAGGAAGCTTCAGTTCTATGGCAGTCTTCCTAATTGCCCCAGACTTAGTGTTGTTGATCTGTGGAGTGCATGTAGGGGTTACCTTTCTGTGTTCTTCAGTAGGCTGTAATACCTCATCTTGTGACCACCCTGACCCCATTTCGTTCTAAAGGAGGTCTTTGTGAAGCCTTGTTTATGCTGCAGGTAGCAACATTTATATTCTGCAAGCATGATTGCTTTGTTAAAGGTTGATATATTCCCTTTTAGTGGACCTAGAATCTGAAGCTAGTAAACACATATTCTTGAGGGCTACAAGTTGAATGCTGGGCTTCATAAATGTTGGCCTTTTATCAATATTTTAGTAGAAGATTATTCTGCTATCAGCTATCAATAATGTCTTCTGATAACTATCAGCTATAATCAACACCTATTTAGATTACCCACTTTTTGTAAAGTTATTCTTAGCCATTGAAAGTTTCATAAATGGTAGTAGTATTCTGCTTGCATTACTCAGCAGAGGATGAGTGCCTGCTGCCTATGCTGTTTTGCTATCTTTAAGATGGAAATTTGCAAAAAGGAAAGGCCAAACGACTTAAATAAAACAAAGAAAATGATCAACATCTCAGAAAAAAAGAAGTATAAAAAGAAAGGGTAAAGAAGGATAAGGAGAGAAGGATAAGGCATGTACTAGTTACAATGGAAATGAAATTGATCTTTAAAACTAGAAGCAGCAAGTCAGGATGTAGTATAATTTTTCCAAACTTTCTTAATGTAGTGTAATTTTTCAGCAAATGTCAAACTTGTTGAATTTTAACCAAATCTAAGTCTTGACCAATGTAGAAGCTGGCTTCAACTCATTGTTAACTACTACAAGAAGAATCAGAACAATTGCCACATTTATTAATTTCCTAGTTACATGATGTAGATTACGTTGCTGCTGTCTCAATTGAGTGCTACTGCTGCCTATCAGGTAACTTCTAATGTGATTTCTGAGCTGAGCATTAAAGTGCTCTGACATCAGTTTAAATAAAGCAGCTTCTAATGCTTGTAACTTGTTTCTGTCCACAGTTAATTTTGGATTTAAGCTATTCTGATTGCAGTATATATTTTGAATTGCCGTGAGCCTTTTTTGCATAATAGATGTAATTTGAAGATGTCAACGATCAAGTTCCTTGAACCTGTATAATTAGGAGCAAGAAAATTAGTTTGAGTTTAAAGTAAACTGCAAGATGGTGTTCTCTTTTTTTTATCTTTATTTTTCTTTTCTATGGGTTGAAATTAACTTGAAAAGATTATTCTTAATGCACCCTAATTTTTCAGTGATCTTTTGGATTCGTATGAGCTAATTAAATCTTTTAATACTTTTGTTGTTCTTTGCTTTTAGTCTCATCAGACTTTAGGCTAGTGAAGGTATTTTGATACATATGTGTAATCATGTTACATACCATTTACTACTTTTTATATGTTTCATACCAAAACTGTTGCCCTTTGCTATTGATATGGTTCTCCAAAATATCACCCTTTACTGTTATGTAATGCCTTGCATGTCAGTTTATTATTACGTTTATCTTGGTTTAGAATAATAAGATGATATATTTTCTTTGATACCTTGCATTCCACTTGTACCTTAATCTGGTATTTCAAGGTTTTAAATCAAGCTCTCTTTTTTCTTGGTCTATCATTTTGTTTTTCTTAATCTTGCGTTTAAAAACCGTGTTCATGGCTATTTTCTGTTTAAATGCTTAACCACTAAGTTTCTTTGTTTTTTCATAGTGCAGAAATTGTAGAGGGCTGCTCTGACCTCTTTGAATTCAAATTCATGTGTTGAACAGAACTTGTTGGCATATTGTATTTGAGGATTTCTCTGAGCTATTCTGATTCTAGTTCAAGGTAATTTTCTCTGAAAATTTCATAGATGTCCAACTCCATTCCAGAAATTGATTTGTCTCTTACATACTCATTTATAAATCTATGGGTCTGTGTTTTGGTAGTCTAGCTAGTTGGCTAGATTTGCATGTTGTGGAATTTATTGACTTGCATGTGACATGACCGAAAAGTAACTTGTACTGTTTCAATTTTCATATTGATGTTGTTTTAGTTGTGTCCACCCAATAAAAGCATCATTTTCTGTTAAAATGGATCTGAGGCACCTCACAGACTTTGATTTACATGTTAGAGCCTAATTTAGTTGCTAAGATTTACAAGTGAAGTAGCTGACTTCCTAAATAGAAAGGTATATTATCTTTGCTTTACCTTATGTATGGTCTAGGTAACTAGTGTGCGATAATTATCTTCAATAACGTATGGGATAAAACTATGTAGTACAAAAAGTTGCTCCTAAACTGCATGATTAAAGACTCCTAAACTAGATTGTTTTAGAAAAATTTTCATCAAAAGCAAATAAGTAAAATTTGGTAATTAAGAACTTGTAAATAATTTGGTCAATCTGCAAAACTATTTACATTGCATATGGCCAAATTTAGTCCGCAATTGGGCTGTCTGACCCTATTATACCTGATTGAAAAAAATTATAATAACACACGGGGGTGGATTATTCAATTACACATTAATGCACGGAAAGGTCTGTTGGAATTAAATTAACCTGAACAATTTTAACATAACTTTTTTTTATTTCAAGGCGTTGTACACGGTACCACGCTTTGAGTTATTCTATGGTTAGAATGAAGAATTAACAGAACCAATTGTTTGAAAATTCAGACGGACTTGAACATGAACAGAAATGACAATTCCAATTCCACCGCCGCCGCTGTGGCAACTGAAGGAAGTGGCAACATCGGTTTGGTCATATCCACTACCGAGACAATCCGATCATTCTTAATGACAGCATCTACAGACCCTAATCTCCCTCAAGACCTGAGAGACCTGGCTTCCTCCCTTTCCCCTCACTCCTCCCTTTCCTACAAATCTCTCAAGTCCATTTGGATCGGATTCGACCCAAAAACTCGGCCCAGCCTCTTCCGTTTGTTCTCTGGTTCAAATTTCATTTTCACCAGCCCAAAGCCTAGAGAAAAGGTGCAATTACTTGGGGCATTGAATTAATTAATTACTGATTGTATTGAATTGAATTTTGTTTGTTTACTCTGAGTTGATGGATTATTTTATTTTTGAATTGTGGGTGAAGAGTGAGGAATTGAAAGCGAGGCTAAGGAAGCTGGCGGAGGTGGCAGAGAAGAAAGAATATGAGGAATTGGTGAAGGATATTACGCCGAAGAAGGGCGTGGAGGAGCCTTTCTCTTCTTACAAGGATCAATTAGGACTTGGTCAGTTCTTTTTCTCAATCCTTCTTTTAAAAATATAGTTGATTTAATCTCGTTTGATTTTTTTTGGTAAATTTGATGATGATTTTTTCTGGTATATTATTGAATTGTAGAGCTATTTGTTCAACTCGTCAAATTGTTAGCATGATAACTTTTATTTTTTTCGATTTAGGGCCTTCTGATCAATATGCTGAAATTACACCATGCAGCCAAAAAAAAAAGATTGTGTGTGGTGTATATTCCAAAATCTCGTCAACTTTAGAAAGAATTTAAAGAAAGAATGTAAAGCCATGGCTAGGTGGAGGGTCGAAGGTTTTCTACATAAATAGAGAAGTTGACCTTAGAACAAATGTTGAATGCTACTAAAGTTCGAAAATGTATTCCCAAGTTATTATTGCATTTTGCAGTACATATATTGTAAAAGACAATATATATGATGTCTACCAGTTCCAATGATGCTAAAGTGCAGTTGATATGCACCTTTAGTCAAAAGTCTGCGATGTAAATTAATAGAACTTTGAACTGACAGAAATTTTACAGTGTTATGCTTGTGTGATCTACAAAAGTCTGCCTCGGTGTATTAAAATTTGGACTCAGTACCAATTTTCAGTTTTGATCCCTTCACATGAACTTTAAGGATCAACCTTGTAGGTAATATTAAGTTGTCTGCAGTAATACTGGTGCCAAGTTTTCCATTGGTATCTTTGGCGTCGATTGTTTGAGAATGAGATAAGGGCGAATGAGCATAATTTTGACTATGAAGTGAGCGCATTCATGCTTCATCTGGCAAGAAATCTTCTATTGTTGAAGTGAGGACCTTTGTGTTAAGTTGATGCTTCATCTAGCATGACAGCTTTAATTGTTATTTTAAAACAGCAGGAAGGTCAAACACTGGAAGCAATATAGAAAAAGGCACTTCAACCTTCTTTAAAGTTTCAGATTTACTTTTGCATAGTCTCATGAAAGTAATTGTAGACAACTTTTCCATATGGACCTCGAGGAGTTAATTGTCCTTGTATAATTGGTAAGATATTTGTTTTAGATTCTTGAGGATTCCTTGATGCTTCAACAAAAGTTACCAGTACAATTGAAGTTATTTTGGGCCTCCAATCCTACTGCTGCACTGATTGGCAAGTTTTTAGTCACGAGAGAGAGAGAGAGAGAGGAACAACTTGAGATTTTAATTCATGTATATTATTATAGCACTGTTAAATTTTTTGTGAAATCTGCTGGCTGCCAGTTTCAATTGGTTTTTGGTGCTCTCCTGATTGATCTGTGTAGCATAGAATTTGCTTCAAGGCAATTTCCTCTTAATAATATCTGAGGTGTCTCAAATCTTTAATTTATCTTAACTTTACCTTGATATGCTTATTATTTTTAAAACCTCTTCATGTTAAAAATGAATATTTATTGTTTGTTGCAGGTTTGCATGTTGCAGTTACTATGTTTACTGGCTATTTGGTTGGATATGCTGCATTCAGAGCCCTGTTTAGCCACAATGTTGGAATGGTAGCTCCCTGGATTCTTCTGCAAATATTCTGTAGAATCATACTTAGGCTGCTTGGTTAATAAATTGCTATGTCCAAAGATTCTCCTTCTGCTATCTCCCTTCGGTCTTTAATTGTGCTATAATCAACACTTCTTTTATTTCTATTGTAGAGCGCTGCAGGAGGCATCCTTGGATTGGTTGGTGGCATGCTTGTGGAAACACTACTTTTTATAATCCGATCTACCAATCAGGACCGACGACCCTCTCCTTTTGTGTCCAGGATAAAAAAGGATCAGTAACTTCTCCACATCAAGGTTTTGCTCTTCCTATTCAATTTTTCATCCGAGGTTGCAGCTTTTTTATTCATCATACCAATTTTCATAAACCCCTGCATGGTTAGTTAGTTGTTCTGCTTTCTTAAGTACGTGACACCCTAAGGAGGTCCATGCCAGTTCTTACTGAGTTTGAGATTGAAGGCATCAAATGTTGCTGCAGATTGTCCTTGCTAAGTTTGAGATTGGATTCGAAAAAGGATTTAGCACCCTTTTTTTTTTTTTTTGGATAAGCATTCAAGACCTTTTACTTATAATCCTTCTTATCTTACCGTTCAGTACAATCCTCCGTTGAAAAAAGTGAAAACTATTATATGCTCGAGTTCTGTCAGTCCTATCTTCAATGTCTCAATTGAAGATGAAAAGGAAACAAAGCACAACAATTGTTGGAATCAACTGGGAGTAAATGGAGGTAGTAACATAACATTTATTACGTTTAAGGTTATTAGGCTTGATTTCACCCCTTGGAAATAGGCATAGGAGTTTAGAAGAAACCCAAAAATTGAAAATCGAAAGTTTCCTTCCTAAATAAAAAATGTGCCGCTGCATGTAAAGGATTTTGTACCATTAAATTTTCAGAAACTTCTTTAGAGAGTTAAATTAATTTTTGACGCAGATGTTGTCGTCGATAAGTTTTCAGCAGAATGCAAAGCGGTACAGTTAAAGATTTTATAGCTGTTGAGAAATGTTTGGTCTCCTTAATTGGAATCATTTGTCTTTTCTGAGTGAACAATTCTAGACTAATAAATGTGGTCTTATCTTGATTCCTCTGAGTGAGTGCATGCAAGTCTTGTCTACTCCGAGAGTGAAAAAAAAGACAGAAATGCAAATAGCGTAATCTGGTGGTAAATTCGCATATACGACTAAACTGGAAAAAGATGATTAATAATTCGCACTTGGCATGATAATTATGCTCCTGAAGACTGTGTTTGGTTGATGGAACATTTTTTAAGGATATTTTTTCTTTGTAAGAATATGGAAGGATGACTAAAGTTGAGACTCGAGAAACTGTATTTAAATTCTCTTTCCTTCTAATTTCTTAAACCTCATTTTGTTTTCCTACTAGAATTTTTTTTAAAAAGAGAAAAAAAAATTGATTAGTCGAAGAGCTTTTTCCTGGATCTTTGAATCTCTTTTCAATTTCATATTTTTCTTGTTTTCTTTGAATTGAAATCGCTCACTATTTTCCCCAGGGAAAAATAAATGGAGAAGAACAATACAAAACATATTCTTTTCAATTTTAAAAAAAAAGGCTTGGAATTGATTTCACTGGAGCAGTTGTTTTACTTGTGTTGAATGGGTACTCGTTAGGATGAATTTTATGTAGTATTAATTTTTGAGAAAAGTAAAATTACATTGAAAAGGTGTCTAAATACAATAAGAGACAGCAAACATGAATCTATGCATTCACAAAATCACCTATTAAGTATAAAATAGGGCAACTGCATTGGAAACCCTTCACGGTATAAGATGAAGAAACGGTTGCTCTCAACAACTGAAGAAACTAGAATAGAAAAATCATAATAGTGCGAGCTGCCTTGTGTAAATTAGGAAGCAGCTTAATTGGTTACTTGGCAAACAACAAAACATTTGTTTTTAGTCCGCCTACCTACAAATAGCGATTTTAAATCATGAGATATCTAAATTATAGACACAAATATGAAAATCTTTAAAATAAAAAAAGGTGAATTATTCATTAAGTTGTTTTTATCGTTTAAATTGTACATCACTTTTTTTTTTATTTTTTTTATTTTAACGTAATGGCATATCTAGTCTAGGCTAACCTGCTCTTACTCCTACTGGGGGAGTCTACTCTAGGAGGTGGCTTAACTGAGTCGGGGAAATCTGATGGGGACTGAACCACTATCAGATCAGACGGATGCATTACGCACCCGTATGAATTTAGAACAAATCTCATATAGAGATATATTGATGGGGGCAAGGTTTGAAAACCCTTGACCTTCCACTTCATAATTAATGTGGTGATCAAGTCCTTTAGAGGAAGTTGATTTAAATCGTACATCGCTTAGTATAGAAATTTTTTGTTGCTTTTTGGAACTTGATTCCACTTCAGATCACATGGTTGATGGTCAAACTAATAGGTAAATTTCTTCTGGCATTCACGTGGGAGACCGGTCCCCAAAACCACCCCAATCAAAAGGAAGGAAGCTCCGAGACTCAAGTCAAGAAAGGAATGGGGCAAGCATGGGCAAAGGATATATGAATAGAGAACCCAAAAGAGAATATGGGGAAGAAAGGGATGGATCGCAATGTAAGGATCTTTGTTTATCTCTACTGTTTTTCGAAAGCGATTCCCCGTTTCATTTTCATCGTTCAATTACCAGAAAACAAGAGCACAGTCTAAGTGCCTAATGAATGTGGTAAACCCTGCCTACCCAACTGGGACGGAATTGCTTACAAATTTCTGAATGTATTTTTTTTTATCAGACTTTTGAAGTTAGTTAATTTCTGAATGTATTTGGATACGTATTTCTTTTAAATATTATTTTACTTGGATCATAAATGCTTTTTTAATAAACTTTTTATACTTCTATTTATTTCTATTTCGTACATATCATATTACAAAGAGTACTGTAATAATTATTTGAAATAATATTTTAAATAATTTTCTATTTTCTTTGACAGACAATAATTTTCTATTCAAATGCACTCACGTCTAGGTACTAACTAAGGTATCTTGGCTAAGAATCCAAATTAATTAATTTGCTACCGTGATTTTTGTTTCCTTTCAATGCAATGAAAGAAAAATAATAAAGGGGGATGACTTAGATGATTCGTAGGAAGACGGAGAGTGAGAGGTCTTAGTTCGAATTCCCTCGTTTATACTAATAATAATAATAATAATAATAATAAAGAAGTAGTACACAGATTCTCAAATACCATATCCTAAAACAGTAGAATCATACCACTTGCTACTAGAGTCTGCTGTGTGATTTAACCTGCTTTGGTTTCAGGGACATGGTTTTCCAGTCGCAGAATTCTCATTTGTGATGCAAAACATGATCAGTGGGGACAACATTTTCATCATTAGCATTCAAAATCGCGCAGTTTACATGATTGGGAATTAAAATTATTTGCTTTCTTTGCTCTACTGATTTTTGTTCCCCTAATTATGGTATTTAGAAAAGTGCAAATCAAGCTATCAAGATAGAATTCCACCATCAAAATTTTCCTCTTTTTTTTATTTTTATTTTTCCATTATGTTTAGTGGGGTTAACAGGTTGAGAGTGGATGAGCTTTACCATTTATCAACTGGACTGAACTTCAAACCACTCTTGAGTGAGTTTTACTAGTCTCAAAGAAATATATTAGCCAGCCGAAAACGTTCTCAAAGAAAAAACAAAATTCAATCAAAATAGACAAATTTATTTGGCACTAAGCAAAAATGGGTCCAAAAGCTCCAAAAATGGTATCCTTTTTTATGTTATCATGTTATCCAACTTCCCTTCCTCACCAGATAAAAGATAGATTACACTGGGCCAATGTCCCTCATGAACGTGTCACTTTATTCTTTTGTCCGCTTACCCGCTTTTGTCTTCTTTGTCCGTTGTCCTTTACCTGGGGCGTTTTCCCGGCCGCAATCTCAATTTTTGCAAAGCTCAAGCTCAAGGTCTGAAAAACCGTTTTCCCTTTTAGGCGAAAATTGGAAAGGTATCAGTGGTTTGGTTGCCAGCACTCGTTAAGATAGTTTTACCTGTAAATTTGTTGATAAGAGTCAAACCAAAATTTTTGTATAGGGCGAAAAGTTGTGAAGAAGTAAATGGATAGATCGACTCATTTTGGTGAATTGCAGCATTTACATTTCGCTAATCCAATTCTAGTTGTGTTTTAGAAAACTCTTAGGAGCTTGAAACACGATATTCTAGTGCAAATAAACAACATCTCTTGAAATTAATAATTCCCCGTCAAATACATGAAACAACATGACTTCATTTGGTTGCCTCTTCAATCACTTGTACCAACCAAAACAAAGGCCAATTTAATCACCCATACCAAATACCAGATTGAAGATCACATAATTTATCCCAAAAAAAAAGGAATTTTCTTAACATGTGTTTCAAGGGTATTCATTAACACATCTAATATTTACATAACCTATAATATATATATATATACACGTCCTAATAATTATTATCCTCTATTACATTTATATACTTTTTCTATTTAATCTTACTTATCATCTCTTGTATATATTTACTTTTTCTAATTAATCATATATTTTTAAAAATATAACACTTGAAATATAACTTAACAAATATCTCGTGGAACTGTTTAATATAATACATATCGCTTCTGCTCATACTCTCACAATTTAATAATATTATCATTATTAAAAAAAAAAACTACTATTACAAGAAGGTGGTACGGTGAGTGGGGTCCGCATCGTCGGCAAAAAGTAACGTGCAGCGCAAATGTCGTGACACGTGGACTAAGCTTCCAGTCCACTGTAGACTTCCGAAAAGCTCACTCTCCACTCCAGTCTTCATCGCCGAACCCTCCGCCGGCTAAGCCCTTCACGTGAGAAGCTACACGTGTCATCAACTTACTGCGTGATCGAAAAGTCAACACAGTAGTACAATCCAACGGTCCTCATTCATCACCAAAACCCCCCACTATATAAAGCAGTTCGATAGAAGATAAAAGATCTCCAGTATGCTTCTCCTGATCAGTTTCAGAGAAAATAAGTCAAACAAAAAATTTCTACTTCTTGTTCTTCCAAATATGAAAGCTATGATAATCCGAACCGGGTCGGGTTCGTTCCCCGCCAGGAATTGGACCCCTCCGAGTCCAAGCTCGCCGAGAATTTCAGTTTCGATGCCGGCTCGGGAATCCGACAAGAAAAGCGGTGGTTCTTCGCCGAGCATTTCGCTGCACACGGACCTGAGTAGCCGGAACATTCGGCGGGCGTCATCGGAGCCGGACATGATGCGATCCGCAATGGAGGGAGTGAAGAGCACTAGCAGGAGCGAGCTCGGATCGCGAGCTCTCGTGGCGAGGATACCTGAGGAAGAAGACGAGAGCACTGGATCGTTGACTGTGGTGGAGAGTCCGAGAGCGAGAGGCAGCAACGCAGGAGGTTGGCCGCAGCGCGCGATGCCGTTGGAGGAGGTAGAGTTTCCAGGCGGCGGTATTGGGAAGAACTGGAATTCTGGCGGCGGAGGTAGAGATGAGTTCGGAACTGGCGGGAACGCTGATCTGAGCAAGATCGGTGCCTATTACGAAGAAATGATCAAGTCAAACCCTTCCAATCCTCTTCTTCTGAGAAATTACGGCAAATATTTGCATGAGGTATACTACTGTATACTACTCTATTTAAATCTAATTGAACTCTGGAATTTCTCAATTATTGTTCAATTAATCAAATATTTGATTAGTTTGTATTTTTGTGTACAGGTGGAGGGAGATTTGGGTAGAGCAGAAGAGTATTACGGGAGGGCAATATTGGCAAGCCCTGGAGATGGAGAAGTCCTGTCCTTGTATGGAAACTTGATTTGGGAAAACGAAAGAGATGAGAGCAGGGCAAAATGTTACTTTGATCAAGCGGTTCAAGCTGCGCCTGATGATTGTATGGTGTTGGGATCATATGCACATTTCATGTGGGAAGCAGAGGATGAAGATGATGATGATGATAACGACGGCGATATAGTGGCGGCTCCGGCAGCTGCCGCCGTGGTTGAATCGTTTTAAGTTCTTAACAGAGCCATCAGTAAGATACCGCTCTGGAAGAGCCAGAATTCTAACCTTGTGTCCGGACCTGAGACCATTGAGATACCGCTCTGGAAGAGTTAGAATTCTAACCTTTGTGTCCGGACCCCTGAGACCTGAGACCTGAGTCTGCTGCTATGTTTATTATGATTAGTGTTTAATTATATGTCTAAGGTAACGGTGAAAGGAGGCTATGATGCACTAATAAACGAGCTTATGTTAACTTTAACGAGGGAAAATCTTCCTGTCTTGAGGGACTGTAAAATATTTGGATTCCTGAGAAACTGATGTAAAATATTTGGGTTCTTGAGGGAATGTAAAAGCTAAGCTCGTCCATGTGAATTATCTGAATTTGGGTTCGGAGTATACCTTGTTTAGCCTGTAATTCAACGAGCATTATATGTGAAAATATCATTACCCAATTTTGTTTTCTTTGATGAGACAATTGAGCAATTTTATTAAGCAATAGTTGAAGCATCAACCAAGAGAATATGCTGAGCAGAGTCTGGTGCATCAAATATTCACTCTTGCTTTCTTGATAGATCAGAGCGGCAGGGAGTCGAACCAGTGGAACTGTAGGGTAAAATAGCATTCCCGTATATTGATTTAGGAATGGCTTGGGACGGTTGTCAGATACAAAAAGTTCCAAATGACTTGTTGTAGCTCGGATTTAGTTAGTAGTGCAAAAATTGGAAACATACGGTTCAAATCACTGCGTAACTCTTAACGTAGCCGACATATGTACAATTTTACGTGAACAGTACTTGAATAAATATAATATGATTGTTATAAAGTTGTACGTATAATTAGCAATGAATTATAACTTGTTAGAAAAATGTTACCAAATGATTGTATTGACGATTGTTTGCACCCGTCTCTCTAATTTAGAAAACGACTAGTTATGACAATCGTATTATCACACTAGTTTATGTCAACTTGTCAGAAAAATGTTACCAAATGATTGTACTGACGATTGTTTGCGCCCATTTCCCTAATTTAGAAAATGACTAGTTATGACGATCGTATTATCACACCGGTTTATGTCAAGTATGACAAGACAATCATGTTATCATGGTAGTTTATGCCCCCCTCTCCATTTTGATTATGACAATCATGTTGTCACGCTAGTTTATGAAACACTAGAAGCTACTAATTTAGTGGCTTAGGAGTCAAGTTAATCAGCAACTAATGTTCTAAAATTGGGCGTATTAGTTGATCATTAAGCAAGTAAAGAGATAAACATTATAAATCTGTTCTTTCTACAGTAGGGAATTAGGGATGTTTTAGAGTGCTTATTTCACGTTAGTGGAGCAAAGAAAGAACTAGGAACTCTAGGGTAATTAACATCACCATCCACAGATATGCTTTGGGAGTTAAACTAATTAATTTAATCTAAGAACTTCCCTAAGAATGTGCCTAGAATAAGGATTAAGTGATCAATTTCCGTAACGGCAAGGTATATATATTTGTATTTTTTTTCTTAATTCAGTTCCTATTAGCCGAAATTGACCAAAATTACTTCAATAACCAAAATTAGCAAGAATTTCGTTACCGAAGCTCCACCGAGTAATTGGGCTTCGTAGTTTAGACTCACCTGTGTAAATCTGCTTGAGCTTCGCAAACATTTCGGCTTGTGTTTGTTTGCTTGATCGATAGCGTTGATGCGATAAATGATGATCTTCTTAGCCTATTGAACATTCTGGGCCGGATTGGGCCGGCTAATAGATTAGGAAGGACCCAATAAACCTTGAAACAAATGGACAGAAGATTAATATATTAAGTAGTGCTTTTGGCACA